AGTACAACATAGCCATTCTTAAGACTGAGCTTTCTATTTCATGATGATTGCTACAGTGGGCAATAGCAGAACAAAGAGCACCTCCAAATCTACTCCACTGATTATGAGACTTGTCTTATAGTAATGCAGCAGAAAGCGGAAAGGATCCTGGGGAGCTTTTGAATCTCAAAGGCAGTTAGCTCCTGTTCTGACCTCCTGAAAACCAGCTTGTAAGAAAAAAAGTTAATTAAAGACAAGGCAATATTAGTGTAGCCAGAAGGTGAATTAGCATGTGATTATTGCAACGAAGAGTCCTGAACTGTTCTTGGTCAAATCTGAGCCTATTCTCAGGTCTGACTTTGTGTTTTCCTATCTACTGGCTGTATGCATACTAAAGGAAAAAGTTTCCAACTTGGGTGCCTGAAATAGTTGATCATATTATGCTTCCACTGAAATCAATAGCATTTACAGATACCCAGCACCTCTAAAAAAAATCAGGCCACTTACATGTTTAATATGGAGTTAGGTGCCTAACTTCAGGCAGTAAAGTTTGACATTTTTTGCCACATAGAAATTAGGCACCTTAGATCATTCCAGAGTCCTTTCAGCAATACAAAGAGCCAACCAGGACTATACTAAGCCACCTCAAGGAAATTCTTTTGTTAATATGCTGCACACCATGTTGTGTATTGGAGAACAGCTGTGGTTACTTTGTTATAAATTTATTAGGTCTACGTTACACCAATTAACTGTAAAGTAGAGGTGGTTGGGAATTTTCCAACAAAAGATGGTTTGTCAGAAAATACCCATCTGTTGACCCCAAAATGTTTCCAAGAACATACTGGGCCATACTGGGTCAGACCACAGGTCCATCTAGCCAAGTATCTTGTCTTCTGATAGTGGCCAATGCCAGGTGCTTCAGAGGGAATGAACAGAACAGGTAATCATCAAGTGATCCGTCCCTTGTCGCCCATTCCCAGCCTCTGGCAAACAGAGGCTAGGGACACCATCCCTGCCCATCCTGGCTAATAGCCATTGATTGGCCTATCCTCCATGAACTTACCTAGTTCTTTTTTTAACCCAATTATAGTCTTGGCCTTCACAACATCCTCTGGCAAAGAGTTCCACAGGTTGGCTGTGGGTTGTGTGAAGAAATACTTCCTTTTATTTGTTTTAAAACTGCTACCTATGAATTTCATTTCGTATCCCCTAGTTCTTGTGTTATGAGAAGGAGTAAATAACACTTCCTTATTTACTTTCTCCATACCAGTCATGATTTTATAGATCTCTATCATATCCCCCCTTAGTTGTCTCTTTTCAAAGCTGAAAAGTCCTAGTCTTATTAATCTCTCCTTATATGGAAGCTGATCCATGAGAGGACCTTCCCTCTTAACCCATGACACCTTACTTTCCTGAGGGACCTTGTCAAAGGCTTTCTGAAAATCTAAGTACACTATGTACACTGGATCCCCCTTGTCCACATGCTTGTTGACACCCTCAAAGAATTCTAGTAGATTGGTGAGGCATGATTTCCCTTTACAAAAACCATGTTGACTCTTCCCCAACAAATCATGTTCATCTGTGTGTGTTTGACAATTCTGTTCTTTACTATAGTTTCAACCAGTTTGCCCAGTACTGAAGTTAGGCTTATCGGGCTTTAATTGCCGAGATTGCCTCTGGAGCCTTTTAAAAAAATTGGCATTATATAGGCGATCCTTCAGTCATCTGGTACAGAAGCTGATTTAAATGATAGGTTACATACCACAGTTGTCAGTTCTGCAATTTCACATTTGAGTTCCTTCAGAACTCTTGGGTGAATACCATTTGGTCCTCTCTTTAGCTTTTTTCTTTGCTCCTTCCTGCTCAGGACCTAAATGAAATTCAAGCTTTAAATGCCCAACTCCTGCATTGCTAATGGGAAACAGCTAAGTGAAAGATATCCTCTTCCCCCTTTTATAAATGGTAACTAGACTCAAGGGAAGAATAATTTGTATCCTGTGGCTCTTATTAACTACTATCAAAAGATCAGATTCTTAAGAACTGATTTTTTTAACAGGTACAACATTCTGGATTGTAAGGGAACTAGGAAGCTCAAGAGACACACTCATCATATAGATCAAACCAAAGAGAAGCCTGAATTTATAAAGGGACTGAAATGTTTGTGAGGTTCAATAAATGAACTACAAACACCAACAACTCTCTCTTTTTGAGACTGAGTAAATGCTGAATTAAACATAGCTAGGTAAAAAAAAAAAGTCTACATCACAACTATGAAACTAGAAAAGCAACTAACTATCTTTCTTTCCATCATAAACTAATGATCAGATAGGATGACAAGTGTTAATTATTTTTTTCTTTTTTGCCAAGGGACCATGTCCCTCTTCACATTTCTTTATGTTTGGTCAAAAGATAAAATACACTGGGAGTCAGATTCACTAATGCTGTTGAAGAAAGGCGTAAATTAAAAGTACTGTGCCACAGGGTTAAATCACCTGAAGGAAGTCATGTGATATTAATATTTTAAAGCTTCAAAATGGGCACACAGATTTTCAGTGAGAAGTACTATAAATTCCTTGATACATGTCAAAAATATTGTTGAGAAATACAGTTACGAAGCAATGAAGAAAAATAAACATAGCATATGAGTTTATTCTTTTTGATAAACTGAATAAGCACATATCTACTGTGATCTACAACATGTGTATGTATTATCCCATGGTAGCAAGTCTAACATCCATGTCTACCCAGATTCCTTTATGTCTTTACACCTACAGTAACTCCTCACTTAAAGTTGTCCTGGTTAACGTTGTTTTCTTGTTATGTTGCTGATCAGTTAGGGAACATGCTTTAAAGTTGCACAATGCTCCCTTATAACGTTGTGAGGCTACATTAAAAAAAATGTGTTAACTCTTGAGGGCTCAGCCGAGTGCTAGTTCAGCATTTAGCAGTAAGGCATTCCCTGGGAAATATCCCACCCTCTGACTTCACCACCTCAACCAAGCTTCATAATCATCATTGCTGTGTATAGTATTAAATTGTTTGTTTCAAACTTATACTGTGTGTGTGTGTATATATATATATATATACACACATATGATATAAAATATAGTCTTGTCTGGTGAACATTTTTTCCCTGGAACCTAACCCTCCTATTTATATTAATTCTTATGGGGAAATTGGATTCGCTTAACATTGTTTCGCTTAAAGTCGCATTTTTCAGGAACATAACTACAACATTAAGCAAGGAGTTATTGTACTTGTTTCTAAACCTCCCCCACCTGCATGGCAAGCTCTCTCTATTACTCATTGCCCCCCTCCCAACTTTTTATTCAATACCACTTGATCAGCTTTCATCTGGGGTAGCATTTCAGCAATACTGTTTGGCACATTTCAGAGTTATAACCTCTCTGTTTTAAATCCAGTTCATTTTGTAATATCTTTAAATATACAACGATACCACACAAGTAATTGAGAAATGACTATACCCATATGTATAAGGATGTATTCTAAAGGGTTTCTTTTATTAAAATAAACTCCAGCTCAAAGAGAAAAGCTTGAGCCACTTACACGTGACAAGTTCTTGGGCTAAATATACATCATGTATGTACTTACATTTTAATTAAGAAGTGTGTTGTACAATTTTTTTTGCTGTTACTATTCTAACAAGATGACAAAACTGAATGTTTTGTAAGGGAGTTTGCTATAGTCTAGTTAAGAATTTTTTTTTTAAATATTCAACCTTTTAATTTTGAAATGTCGTGGAACATAGAGCAAAATCACCTTCATTAAGAACATCTTATTGTTGCAAACCAGGATATTATATACACAACACTATTGAAAAGATAAGGGTAATTTATAAGACTATCGGATGTTCATGTATTATACACAATAAATAAAGGGCAACTCTGAATTACAGGACTAAAGGTCTATAAAGTGGTTTTGCAATGACATAAATCATGATAGCAAAGCTAGAGTCACCAAGATCCAGGGATGGAATTATAGCCAAGTAATTCAAACCGTGCCTGTTTTATATTTTATATATTATGAGGATTCCACATAAAGCATCTTCATTTTCAAACAAAGCCCCAGCTGCTTGTTTTGAAAAACGTTTTTGAGTGCCCTTCCTCTAAACACTACCAGAGCAGCTTTCATCTTAAGACGTAATGCTGTGGTTTTCCCCTGTACAAGTTAAGAAGCAGCTTTCTTTGCAATGTAACATTCTAGAAATCTTTCCTTTAACATATTTGATGTCATTCTTGTGACTAAAGTGCAGGGTGCAGTCATACTTGTGAATTACAACACTTTTTGTTCACAGCAAATAGAACAAGAATAAAGCTGCTTGTCATTTGAGATGATGCAAATAATATAGGTACAGTATATACATATCCATTGTCTAAATCAGTATCATATGATTCTGTTTAGACAGTTGCTAGCCCATTAATACGTTTGAGTGCCAAATACTATTGGTCCAGCTAGTAGAGAAATAGTGTGAAACTATTTTTAGTTACATAAATACTGGTGATAAAGAATATAGGCAAAGAAGTGAGGGTTGTCCAGAGGCTCGAGCAGGAGATAGAGCTTAGGGATCCCTAAGCGCTATTATTGGCACTGCTGCTGATCTGTTGCATTACTTTAGGGAAGTCACTTAACCCATTTGTATCTCATTTTCCCCATCTGAAAATGTCATTAATAGCCACAGTTCCTTACATGAGTGTTTGAGGTATAAACCTGTTTTTACTTAAAATGTTTTTAGATCTTCAGATGAGATATTAAGAGCAAAACATTGCTATTACTAATTAAATTTCATTTTGCACGCTAAAGGAGGGGCCTTTTCTTCACCCTTCCCAAAGCAGCACCTTAAAACACTAAACCTTAACAGTTTGGTTGATATTGATCAAACTTTTGGAAGAAATCAGTTGTTTTCTCCTGTTAAAAAGAAACCTATTCAGTCAGACAATCCTGTGTTACTATTCTTAACAGTAATTTTTAACATGACCACTAGATGGAAATATTGTACTTACAGTTGGAGATGTGGCTGCAGATAACAATGGTAAAATCCCTCCACAAGCAATGATAATATTGTCTACCATCTGGGAAATGAGGTGGATCGTGTTGTGTACAAAAATAATGTTTTCATTGCTATTGACAAAGTCCATTACAGATTTTGTAGAATGACTAAAAAAATAGGGGAAAAAAAAAGATATTAGAACACCAATGTTTTTTAAAAGTTTAGATTCTCTGTTTTTTGAAACCCGAACTTGAATGTTTCCTAGTTGTATGGTATTGTCTTTGTAATAATAAAAAGATAAAATGAAAAATATTTTAAAATACTGATAGGAGCTAGTCTAGCATAATAACTTAGTGCTATTTTTATTTCATACCAGACTATAACTATTTCTATACTATCCGTTATAGAGCCCAGACTCTGCCAATCTTAACACTGTTTAGTGCCTTACTTCACAAACAATTCTGTTGGAACCAATGGGACCGCTCACGGAGTAAAGTACCGTACTGTCCAACATGAATAAGGGTGGCAGAATTTGGCACTTAATGATATCTTTTAAAGCAGCTCTGATAATAACGAATGACCAGATTGTCTACAAGAGAGGTCTACAGAGTGATCTGTAGACCACCAGCAGCCCACAAAGCACCTGCTGGTGTTCTTTAGAGAGTTGGTTGGTCACAAGCGTAAGCTTCTCTTTATTTCCACTTGCTATATTCCACTAAAAGATAGCTAAAAATATAGAACTGTGTTCCTAATATTAATTTTCCATGTTAGTAATAGCTGTAGATGACACAGGGATCAAATGATAAACATGAGACACAACCATCCCCATGATTGCAAATAGGTGGGAAAGTGTCCATAGGACAAATTACTTTCAAGATGTAATTCACATTATGAAAATGTTTAGGAGCCTTTGGTCTATTGATGTTATGTGCTTGTCCATAACACAGCATGAGTAATTAAATTACCCAGTTCGTGAAATTAGTGGCCAGTAAACAAATAGTATTGGCCTTAATTGCAGAAGGAATTATAAACTAAACTTCTAATTTGCCTGTGAATTTCAGGGAAACAAAGGGGGCAAAAATAAGGTGATTGGTATAAAAAAAAAAAACTACTATTACTGACTATTTTATAGTACCAGGTTTCAGAGTAGCAGCCGTGTTAGTCTGTATCCGCAAAAAGAACAGGAGTACTTGTGGCACCTTAGAGACTAACAAATTTATTAGAGCATAAGCTTTCGTGGGCTACAACCCACTTCTTCGGATGCATATAGCATTTTATTTTATAGTAAGGTCACACAAACGTGGAAATTAAATTTAAGCCAATTGGTAATCTGATTTAATTAAGCGAATTCTCAACTACTGATAATACAGCATTACAGCCTTTGCAGAATGAATTATGCCATTCTGGGAAATAGATTAAATAGTGCCTGATGTACCGCTGGACTTTGACTACAAGTAGTAACTATTAAGGTAGTTTCTTTGCTTAACTAAAAGGAATCATAACAGAAGAGTCATCAAGGTGAAAAGCAATGTATTTAAGCAATACATTCTTTTTTTTAAAATGGTAAACAGATGCTTTTTAAAAAGGCACAAGATCACTTGCACCATTTTTTAAATTTTAAAAATGTGTTAAATACATAAATGAATTAGGATGCGATGACAAAAAATATATAGTTAATAGCAATGTGGCCATCAAGGCTAATCAAGACAAAGCATGTCTTTATTGTTTTACAATTGGAAATCTTTACAGAAATGAAAACTTTTTTATAGGCAAGCTGTGACTGCCTACTAAATTCTCTTGGAGGAGTCTCTGTATTAAGTCATAAGATAGATGAATTATTCAAGCACAGGATGAAGACTGGTGTGTGGAACAAATATTTCTGGATTAAGAATGCAAACACCTCCAAACGCTAGTAGTGGCTACTAAAAATAATGGTACAGATATTTGTCATCCCCATATTAAATGTAGTGGTTACTAATAAAAAGTCCATTAAGATACAGTAATTCAAAAAGGATACATGAGATACTACAGTTTTTATCCCTCACAAAGAATAGGAATTAACTGAGGCATGTCAGATACTGCAATAAGGTAAGTCTGGTAAAGCTGACTTTACAATGGAAATTTACCTTTAAAAAAGTAGTTACCAATACGTCTTGTGTCTAATTATGTCTTTACTTCGCTGATAAACACATACATAATAAAGTTAAAAATAAGAAATATAGCTTTTCTACCTTCTCCAAACATGTACATCTGTTTCTAATGCAAACAGCAAATCTGTCAGCAGCCTCTGGTGCATTGGAGACCATTTAAACTCTGGAATACGAAACATAGTTGTGCGTGGACCTGGACTAAACTGGCGTCGTTGTTCTTCTGTCATTGGCATTCCTCGAAATCCCAAGTCAACTCGCAAGTCTCTGTCTTGCTGGGTAACAGACCGACCTTGCACAGCCTATGTTAACAAAAAGTTCAAAGTTTGTGTTAAACATATGCAATGAATTCTAACAATGCACATGGATAAGATTTGGAGAAGGAGGGGCTATAATTGGAGCTGAAAATAAAAAAATAAAATATACCAGTAGTGCCCTCCAGATAAAGTTGGTGTCATTTGATGTAGCCTCATTGAAACTACTCTGATTTACGCCAGCTAACAATCTGGCCTCACATCTGGGCCTTCCTTTCAGTTGTTTAGTGACATTTTGCATTTCAGATTCCTCAACGTGCACCCTGAAGGGATTTTGTTTGCAGTGTGTTTATTTTTGGCAAGTTGATCCTGTCTAGATATTTTGAGGGAAGTGAGAGAGACACTCTATACCTCGGGGGAGCGCCCTGTAACCCCCATATTTATATATAATTGTGATCATGCAAATAAAGCATGCCATGTGAGGTGTCAGGGGAAAGGTTATGATCTGCTGAAAGTCATTGTTCTATTTAAATATTGCATATGAAATTATAAGAATTGAGTTGTATGGTTTTCACTAAAATATGCTGTTGGTGTGGGAAGTGCCCAGATACTAGCTCTCCAGATATAACGACAAGGGAGGTAACTAAAGCCTGGGTGGGTGCTGAGCAGATATCACCAGCCATTGTCCAGCAGAGGAGTTACAATTCAATGACTCACAGGAGACGACGTGAATCAGCAATGCCCACCAGAGATGCCTGGACTTGTGTTCTCCAAGCACATGGGACTAAAGGTATAAAACAAGACACAATGGCCCCATGCTTGGCCTTTTCTCCTCCACACCCCCCACCTATGCTGCAAGCAACAAAGACACTCGGAAGACTGAAGACTCCAACAGAGGATACTGGCCCAGGTTTCAAGGGTGAAACCTGTGTACTGTGATCTGCAATATCCAGTGGGGTGAGAAAAACTGCTTAATCTAGATGTTGCCCAGTCTAATAGGGCTGAGAGTTTAGACTGCATGCTTATATTTTATTTTGGTAACCACTCTGACTTTTTGCCTATCATTTATAATCACTTAAAATCTATCTTTTTGTAACCAAACTTATTTTACTGTTTATCTTTACCAGTGAGTTTGCCTGAAGTATTTGCTAAATCTGCTCAGGTTTACAAAGGCTGGTGTATATCCATTGATGAAGTGGTGAGCCAATTAATAAACTTGCACTTCTCATCTTGAGCAGTCCAAGATGGCATGTTCCTGAGGTACAAGGCTGGAGCTGGGAGGATTTGGCTAGTGTCTCTCTCTGTGTGATTCATGAGTGGCTTTGGGAGCATTCATGCAATCTAGCTGGGGTGTGGGGCTCCACATGCGGTTGCGCTGAGTGATAACAGCATCTGGAGGAGTTTGCAGCTTGTCACTAGCAAAGCATTGTGAGAGACAGCCTAGGCTGGAGAGTTAAGGGGGCACAGCTGTCCCACAGTCCCAGGCTGTACCCCGGGGATCCCGTCACAGGGGGTATTAATGTATACTTTTTTTAGAAGGATCATCATCATAGTCTTTTTTTCTCAGAAGTACAAATCTAGCTTTCCAGGTATCTTGTACCTGATTGTGTCTTAATTGAGCAAGTTTTCTGGCGTACCACGACAGCCTTTAGTGTCTCCTAGCAGGTGGCTGATTTGTGGGTTATATAGTTTTAATTTCTAGGTAGTCCTGAGCGGTTTTTACTTGGTGAACACACGCAAAGGAGAAAAAGGAATTTAGTGTGATACACAAGATTACTGGGAGGAAAATTTTAGAGAAAGAATTTAAACTGAATGTTAGGAAAATCTTCCTAATGATGAAATCACCCAAAAAAGAAATAGTAGAAGCCACATTGCTTGGGATTATTTTAAAAGCAGACTAGACAATACAAAAGAAATTTTATTGTAAGGAATAATATAGCATTAGCCGAAGATGGATTGGGTGATCTTTTCTTTTCGTCTTTTCTATTCTAAATGAAACAAATTTAGAACAAGTTGCTTTAAATGGCATTTTAGTTAGCGGATTTTTTTTTAATCACATTCAATTGCAAATTCCTGAATACTGCATGCTGATTGTCAGGAAAAAAAGACATCGATGGTGTATTTATTTTTGCATTGTAAAAAGCAGAATAGTACAGAAACCCAGCTCTAAAGTTCACTTGATCTTTAGTCTGAAATGTTGTAACCTCCATTTTGAGAGCAGGAAAGGAACACATTGTTAACTCAATTGTCAAACTGGTCTGTTAAGATCTACATTTCTGCTGCTACTGCTGCTTGTCTATTTTATATCTCCTCAGAATAATTTTTACAGACTTGATCCTACACCAGTGAAGTCATGGGATTTTTACCATTGATTTAAATGAGACCAGGTACAGCTCCTAAAACCTGGGAGACAACAGTAATTAAAATAAAGTATGTGGGAACAAAAGGAGGAGGAAATTTCACCTAAAAATGGAATTTGGAAATATCAAGAATATTTACACAAGTTGGAGAGATCTTTCAGTCTTGAATTCTGTGGCCATAGTTTTCCTAGTGATTATATAAAATATCTGTACTGTGGTTTAGTCTTTTTCTGCATCACATACTAAACAAGTATTTAGTATTTAGAATAAACACTTTTAATTTTAGTAGTTTTTAGTACCCTCAGTAAGGATAAGGGTGCCATTGTGCTGGGGACTTCTAACTCCAAAGATTAAAGAGATAGTCCCTGGCCTGATGAATTTACAATCTGAACAAAAGGCAACAAGTGAATTTATCAAAGGAGGGGGGAAGGGAGAGACAGGAGAAAACACAAGAGTAACAGTGACAAGATAAGATAGCGTAGCTCTGCCTATTTTATTATCTCTCTATATGTATAGATCCATATATAGATATTGGTTAAAACAGGAAAGAAGAGGAATATATCCCTACATCCTTCTCCCTTTGATATTTTAACCAAAAAAAACCTACACTACACAATAGAAGCAATCTGTTCCCCATTACTCCCCTATTTCTCAGTCCATTTGCTGATTTTCCTGGAATCAGCAGTCTTTGTTTGATGATTTAGACTAAGAATAAAAACCATGTGGCAACTGAAAAAAATCACAGTTTGAACAGCTTTGACACCTTCTTTACTAAAGGTTTTGGGTTTTTTTTTTTCTCTATTATGCAGAGTGACTTAAAATGTGGCAGATCCTATACCTTGCTTGAGGTGCTGCAGTAATTTTGAGGTTTTCACCAATTTGAGAGTTTGCATACAAAAGAACCCATGCTCCCTCTCATGGCACTTGTCAATGCATAAGTCAATGTACTGTACCTACATGCCAAATGCAGGAAGTGGAGGAAGAGGCTCAGTATCTCTGCTCACTGAAGCTTAGCATTACTCTTTTTCAGTCTCCTTGTTAAAGGAACGTTCTTCTCCCTGAACAGTAGGGGTAGATACAGGAAAGCCAGAGTCTGTTACTTTGAGAGGAGTACTGTAGTTTTTGTGGGGTGGGAACTGCCTTCTGGAAGCCCTAAATTCTCAATATCTGAGAGAGACTACTACAGATTCTGGAGTTCTTCATGCAGCAGTGTTCTTCAGAAAGACAAGGTAGCCTTAGATGTCTGATCAGATGATGACCATTGTGCTGCTACAGGTATCAGTATTCCTCTCAAGGTGTTCCTGATGCTATGTTAAGTGGTGCGTGCTGCAAACTACTATACATAATCTTACCAGGCCAGCATCTGTATCAGCTCTACCTGTCATCTCTAGTTTCAAGGGACTTGGTTGACTACTGAATCCATCTGACCACCTCTCTAGAGGAGTAACCTGTGTACATGGTTGTTTGCAGAAAGTTGTTTGTTCATTTTAAAAGTTCTCTCTAAATCAGACTCTCTTTTTGCCAAGTAAGTCTTTACCAAGAATCCTTAAGTGGATGTGGCAATCGCTAGAGTGGCAAGGTGATGTCATCCATTTCCGCACTCTGGAGATTCTCAGCAAAGATCTCAGTGTCTTTCTGTAACACTGAATACAAGAGCCTCCATGATGCCAACAATGTATGCACAATCCTGGAAGTGAAGTCAGGCTTATCCTCCCACTTTAGCAGCTTGAAACAATCTTTATCCTGTACCTGAGGATCAGGTAATTCTGGGACTGTCAGTATTCCTGTAGGGGGAGGGGGAAACAGAATTGAAGTGCTGTCTGTTGAGACACAGCCTCATGGTGGTGGAGTGAGACCAGTGGTGTAAAGCCTGGCCATGGAGGGAGACAGTAGGGCTGGAAGGTGGGCAACAATAAGGCAATCCAAGCTGGAAACTGAGTTCCTGTTTCCCATGCATATGTGAATTGTTGGCCCAAGTTGATGATGTTTGCTATAGTCATGCAGAGGGCACAGGAATGTGCCCCGGTGCACAGCAGGTAAGGTGAGCAGCAGTGGCGAGGAAGAGAGGAGAGGAATAGTGACCAAATGAAGTTGTTCTGGCCTGGAAGCTCCTAGAACTTCAGCAGGGCCAGCCTAGAACCTAGGAGGGGCTCTAAGTCTGGTGGGCTCCTTGGTCCTACTGTGAAATCCGCAGAAGAGGTGGAGAATTTCCAAAACCCTAGGCGCTCCTGACCTACTCAGCAGAGCATTGATTGTGTATCATAGTAAAAGAGATTGATCTGTTTTCTGCCTAGAATTCATAGCCATTAACAGGGCTTGGGAAGAGATATCTTGTCTGCTACCTTGCTCCTTTTTTCCTGAGCATGATCCACTAGATACCTTGAAGGAAAAGAAGGATTTCCAGTGGCTACCTTTGGTAGTCAGGTAAAGCTTTCCCAGCATAGTCCTTTGGGGGTCTGAGAGAGTCAGATATGTTGAAGCCCTTACCAGAGACCCCAGTGCAGAAACACAGACACAGACTAAGGATGTGAATAATTCTCTTTGGGCACAGTCAGGGAAAGCCATATACTGTGGGTGTTCCATTATCAGAAGAGTTTCTCTGTAGTTTAGGAACTTCTTTTCTCTATGCTTCACTGCATCAACCCATAAGAGTACAGATCTCCTCATATGTTGGAGACAGCAAGGACTGGTAATGATTAGGGCTCCGTGTCTGTCATGGAGTTCGTGGAAGTCACAGATTCCATGACTTCCCACGACCTCCATGACTTCTGCAGTGGCAGTGTGGCTGACCTCAGGGTCACCCAAGCAGCTGGCTTCTGAGACCAGGGGACAGCCTCACCAGCCGCAGCTAGAGCAGCCGCGGGGACAGCCAAACCAGCCACTGCTCGGGCGGCCCCAACAGCGGTCCTGAGGTGGCCGGAGCAGCTGTGGTCTGCTGGCCCCGGCAGTGGTCCCTGGGTGGCTGGCCAGAGTAGCTGCAGTCCGCAGCCCCCCAGAAGCTGGTGCTGCAGACAACGAGCAAACCCAGCAGAAGCCCCCCCACGTGACCCCCTCCAACATTTAGTTACAGGTATTTTTAATACAAGTCATGGACAGGTCACAGGCCGTGAATTTTTATTTATTGCCCGTGACCTGTCCATGACTTTTACTAAAAATACCCATTACTAAATTGTAGCTTTAGTAATGAGAAGATAGTAAGGCTCTTATATGCATAGAAAATTACCACCAAAAAAGTTTTGAGTACTGTCTCCAAAGTTGAAACTCTACCCAAACACTGATTGGCACAGAGAAACAAAGAGAATTAAACCATAAGAAACACTGGAATTTATATTTTATTATACTCTGTCTTACCAAGTAAAATACAGCATGGTTGTAGCCATGTTGGTCCCAGGTATTAGAGAGACAAGTTGGCTAAGGTAATCTCTTTTTACTGGACCAACTTCTATTGATGTGAGAGAAGTGGGTCCAATAAAATTATTACCTCACGCACCTTGCTTAAGTAAAATACAAACATTTCTAGCCTTAAAACAGAAAAAAAGAATTTAGATGCATACAATAAACGTTTTTAATTATTAGTCACATTGTCCACAAGAAATAAATCATGTGGGCTAATAATATATTTCTCCAGCAAAATTTTTAAAGTGATATTCCATAATTGCAATGAGTGAGATTTTCTTATGGTAAAATAACATCATTAAACATGGACCAACCATTTTGAAAATAAAAATGTTTGCAAGACATATTTCTGATATGATGCTAAAAAGAATACCTTTAAAAGTTGGCCACAGTGGTGATTAGATATACTTTTGTGATTGGATTAATTATCCTGTAATCAAATACATATATGTCACATACGGATATAATTATAGCACCTCTAACTTACTTGGGTTGTAGTAGTTGTCTGGATCTTCCTTATCTCCTTCCCTGCTTCTTTACCATCATCAGATCTTTCTGTATCTGATATTATACTTCCTGCATCAACATTAGGTAGACTTTTGCTACCAGAAGACTCTGTCTCCAGGGTTGTAGCTGTCATCTCAGCATATTCTAATCCTTTGGATGATGAAGCTAACTCCCTTTCAGAAAGGTTGCTCATTCCATCTGAAGTGGTATGAATCTTGAACTCCTTATCCTCTATTATACTTGAAGTACATGTTATATCTACACTACCAGTCATGTGAGCAAGCAATCCAAGATCATCACTTACACCAAGATGCATTTGAGTCTCTTGTACATTTGGAATAGTAATGTGATTACTGGAAAGTTCAGGGAGAAGTTTCTCTTCTTGGTTGGGTATTTTATCAAAAAGAAATGAGGTATTGTTAGTAGAAGGTTCATCTTTCTCATCAGCCAGTGTTATCAAAGGCCCATTATCCTTCTCTTCGCTTTTCTTAATGATACCAACACTACCATGGACATTGTTTTGGAGTTTCTCAACAGCAGCACAATATACGTTATCTAAAAGGGATTCAACTTCCACGAGGGCACCATTCTCTCCAGTTACCAGAGTCTCTGGTGATAAATCCATATCATCAAGCTTTACTTCTGTGGCTTCTACCTTTTCAGCTTTTATATCAACTAACAGATCATGAACCTCAACATGTACACCCCCTCCTGGTCTATCTGAACTTCCAAGCACATCATCTGACACCTTTGTAGCCATGAGCAAGTCCCTGGTATCTGTGCTGACAGGGTAATCTGTTTCACTTTCTGGGCTTTGGCTTTGTGAAAGGTCTTCTATCTCTCGAATTTCCAGTCCACCTTTTGCTCCTGTTGTCTGAGATGAAAGGCCTGAGATAGTGCTCACATTCCCCTTTTTCCCCTTTTTTATGTTCTCTTCCTCTTGCCTTTGATATTCTTCATACATTTTTGCTAGATACTCCTTGTGAGCTTCATAGGTGACCTTAAATGGAACATGACAGATCATAATTTCAGAGTAAATATATACTTTATCAATTTGGGGGGGGGGGAATCAATAGTATAATTAATGTATAGTTCATTAAACATTTCACAGCAAAGAACTCACACTAATAAAGAAAAATGCTAAACTATCATGCCCTATGCTATCCACAAGATGGCACTAAATCACTTTACATTGTATCTACTGTATTACTGGCCCCTTTGGCTTAGGGAGATATTGGGATCAACAAACTCCAGAAACTAATTCTTACCTTGGAATGTGCTATAGAAAGAGTATCCACCCAGACCCTCCAGCCTCCCCATTCATATTTTATTGCATGATACAAGAGAATACGGAAGATGTTGTACACCATCTCTGTGATTTTCTGTTCTTCAGAGTTCTTAGGGTTAATATATCCCAGAGAAAACATCCAGTCCTGCCACACCGAACACTGAAGTAAACATCTAAAGTAAAATAATTAGGTCAAAATATATCCAAATGAAATTCAACTTTTTTTCATTTTTTAAATTCAGATGAGTAAAACGGGATAAAAAACAATTTAAATAGCCTCTCTCCTATGAGCTTCAATGTAATCTTAATCACTTATTTTTGTTTTAAATTCATGATCTTAAAATGTTGTTAAGTAAAGCATTGTGAACAAAACAAAAATATCTATCACTGATTTAAAATTAACTACCGGATGTTCATACCATTTGTTTTAACCACATATTTATTGCATATTATGTAAAACTGCACATTACAATAGTCAAGACTTTTATCCAAAATTTCTTGTGTGTTAACGACATTGAGTGTGGCAACAGGTGACCTATTTCTGTTATTGGGAGAAATAATATTTGATTTACATACCTTCTGTTTTCACGACTATTACTGAAAAGTTTTATCATATCAGATAAAAACAAACGCCGAACTTCCATCAGCTCTGCACTTGGTGTGGAATTTTTTAACAATGTTGCCACCACTTTAAGAATCACTGTAAAAGAGCAAATATGTTACATAACACATTTTTAAATCCCATCCAAAAACCAGCTGTTGAAATCATAAAAGTATTGAATAAAAGCCAATTTTCTTTGAAGTATTCAACATATTAACTGCTCTTGCAATGTGAAATAACACTTTCTTAAAAAAGCAACCTCTCGCCATTAATTTGAAACAAACATAAAATAATCTCCTTACTTGGATTCTGAATTTTCACTGTAGAATCTGGCTCTGGATGTGGTTTATGAACAACTTGAGTGCATACTTGTTCTGTCAAAATCTAAAACAAACCAATTATTTATTTACCATCTATTAATTTTATAGCATAAACTTCAAATTTCTATTTGATCTTATTGTGCTGTGGTTTATTATGAACAATGGAACAATGTGTGTGTTAGGCCTTGATACAAAAAATGCTTTAGTAAAAAAACAATATTGTTGCAACGATGCAAAGGAAGAAAGATTTTAATGACAAACCAATCCTGAATGCTAGGAATCAAGTTTTCATTATAATATATTAACAAATAAATGTATTCTTGGACAGCTATGAACATTTTAAAACTGTTTTTAAATGTTAAAGCACCCCCTCTCTTCTGGTTCCAATTCACCTTAATATCTAGATTATTTTTATTAGAGTTCAGTATCACCGCAGAACATTTTGCTGTAAAACTGTCAAAAATTCACATATTTCCACTACAGATAGGTGTCTCATATGTGAACATTTTGTAAATGAAATCTTGACTGACTTTTGTGTAATAGTATTATTAGTTTGAATATACAGATCTGTTCAAACCATATGCTGCCAAAAAAAATGTATGGTTTCAGGTACTGATTCAAATTAAAGAAAGCCACAGTTAATAGAAATCTATATACAACTACGCATATGGCTCAATACACAAAGAATCCTGTAGAGAATCTAAAAACTTTCAGCATCAGTATTAAATTAATGATGCTTAGTGAAACTGTGCGATGAACTTTGAATGGCTAACGTACAAATCTCAATTGGAAAAACTGACTTGAGTCTACTGAACCATGATGCTGGTTAAATAAAGCAGTTTTATTATTTAAGTATAAGATTCATTAGGGAATAGTGGTAAGAAATGTAAGAAAATATTTTTACAGTTGGTAATAAGGACAAAAACCAAACCAAAACAAAAACAACCACCCTTGATGAACTTCAAAAGGGCTTTGGTTTATGTTATTCAAGACAAACATTATGTATTTTCTTCATCTAACAAAAGGTCTCTCTGTAACTGTACTGAAGTCAGGGGAAATGTTCTCTACTATATCAAAGCTTGATGATATTGACAATTAAATTGGTTATTTGGAGTATTGGGAATATATTTTACTTTTGTAACGTAAAGAATGTAGCTTCTTGCTCTCTTGTAAGTGTTAGTGATATGTAAACTATTATGTAGTTTTACTATGTACAATTCAAACTATGTTTCACCCACATTTAGTTATACTTCAGAGTCTGTGTTAAGTGACTTCAAAATTCAAATGCTGTAAAGCACTTTGGGGTCCTTCATAAACTTAATATATGGCAAAAGTGAAAAGAAAAGCTGTATATTCAATAGATTTTACAGAGGTACCGAACATGAAATGTTGCTCAAACTTTTGAAAACTTATCTCAGGGCACATCTTTCTAAAAATATCTGTATTGATCACGGAAAAAAAAAAAAGTCAGACCTGCATTACAGCCCCTATGAGGGTATGTGCACAAGTACATGTATAATTAAGATTCAGCATATAATGACAGTTATTGTGTACACAAATGAAAAGTGAACTGTGCAGCTGATCATTTGTATGCAGTTACTTTGAGTATGTAATTGAAGTAACAGCACAAATTAAAGCCCAGTCCAGCAAAGCCATAAACACATGGTTAGCATTAAAAGATGCATTTTTACCAAAAATATTTTATTAAGACTAGTCATAGTGATAGTGATACGGTGCTCAGAGATCAACCCCTCTGTATATCAAAAATGAAATAAAAATAATCTCCCCAACTACGTAGCATCCAGGAACTAAAGAGAAATTAAATACTACTGAGGTTGAATAAATTAACTAATAGTCAACTAAAATTTCTCTGTCAGCTAGAATAATAAAACTACTTGCACGATGTCAAAACTTTTTCAGTAGCTACCCAACTGCCCCCTTTTCTCTCCTGTCAATCAAACTACTGGTCCTGAATCCAGGCTGCATCGTTTGCTAGAATACAGACACTCCCATACAAAGTCATATTAGCCTCAATTTTTGATAGAAAAAACAATTCCAGCTTTGTCAAAGTTGTTTTCACCTAATATTTAAATCATATTAGGGTGGATAGAAATTAGATTTTTTTTTTATTTAAATCAGATTTTTTTGATAAAATGTTGTTGAGGAAAAAAACTATCTAAAGATAGTTTTAATTAAGATACATTATAGCTCAAAGATATCTCATCATGAAATAGGGATTATAAATTCTAATTCTATAGAATGAGACAATATATTCAAGTAACGTTTAAGAAAAGTTTTGTAAATGAGTTCCAATAGTTCATGGATTAGGGACCCAATCTTATGAGGTTCCAGAGGCTTCTGTATAGATTATTTAGGTTAATCTTTCTATCTATCCAATGGGACTCAGTGCTCAGTCTAGAAGATACCATCAGAGATGCTTAGTTTTGCAGTTCTCAAATTGTGGATTTGTGTCTCCAGAGATAACATGCTTGTTAACAGCAAAAATGGTTTTAAATAAAATAAATAAATAAATAATAAATATATAGAGAGGTGAGAAATAACAGACCTCAACCCTATTGTCCCTCCGCAAATTTGTGTGCACAGAGTCGATCCCTTTCCTCTCTCTAAAAGTGCAAAGTTTCAAAAAGTTAAATGAATAAAAGATTGTTGGGGGTGGAATAGATCTGGACAAGGAGAAGAAGTCTGGAGATAAATGTGAGAAGGGAGGGACAGGCAGTAGAAACAAAAGTGAAACTGTTTGAGCAGCATATTCCAAAAGTCTTGAGGTCTTTCCAAGTGTAGCCTTCATTGATTTGAGATCTACCATACAATTCTCTCACTAGAAGGGAAAACCTATAATGGCAGCAGGCCGTAAGAGAGACCCAGTTTGGGAATATTTTAATGAAGTCCCTCTACCTGTGGGTAAGATTGGCATGCGTGCAAAATGCAAACAGTGCAACAAAGAAATACCAGGGCTGGTGCCCGAATAAAACAACATAATGAGAAGTGTTCCTTCTCAGGAGGAAGCTGCATTGAATATGATGAAATTAACATATCTGAACACGCAGGATCTTCAGGTTGGTAAAACTTTTTTATTTCATACTTCTTTCTTAAGGACTGCCTGTCTTCCTTCTGGACTATTCGTGAATTCTCATGTTTGAGCAAAAAATATAGCTGTTACTCTATAGTACTATCATTTTAGATGCAGTTGTGATAAAAAAATAAATAGCTGAAACAGGCAGATCTTCCTTTTGCAACTTCACCTTTAAAGTAGTTCTGAGTGTTAGTGAATGCAATGAGTAGTACTAAATGAGCAGTATGGTAATAATAATTAAATAACTGCATTGACTTTTTTTTTTTTTTTTTTTAAAAGGAGAATCCATCCTCAACATACAGGATTCTGAAGACTATCCTGACAAGATCACCATTATTTTATATAGTTTCAGAGTTATCTGCCAATGATCGTGTTTCAGTCACATCATGTATGTCACATAGCCACCTGTAGCAAAAAGAAAAAAAAAAACCTCCATCATCCAGAAACCACCATATATAAATTTGTGATTACAAAAAGAGGTAATTGATGAAAAAATTGCCCGGTTTGTTTATGTAACAAACTCTCCTTTCCATATGATTGAGAACCCACGCTTCATTAACATTGTTCAGTCATTAAGACCAGGATACAGTCCACCCAACAGAGCAGATATCATATGCAAATTTCTAGATAAAGTGTATGAAAGAAAATTGAGCAGCGTGCAAAAGGTCTAGAGGTGAAATTGTTAAGCAATGTCCACAACGATCCCGTTGTATGCACTTGTGTGACAACAGAAGAAGGGAATGTCCTCCTTACAGAAACAATTGATACATCAGGAAATGCACACACAGCAAAATACTTACAAGTAGCAGCAGTAAAAGCTATAACAAACTGTGAAAAAAAATTCACATGTCTAGTACGCAACTTGGTCACAGACAGTGCTGCAAATGTATCCAAGATGAGGAGAAATTATTTAGAAGAGAGTCCCAAGTTAATAACAAATAACTCAGTTGCAATGCTCATTTGATACACCTCCTAGCCAAAGACTTCAGTGTTCCAGAAATAACAGCTAATGTTGTTGAAATTGCAAAATACTTCTGTAACAACCACTTTGCAGCAGGTGCTCTGAAAAAAGTGGGAGGAACCAAGCTAACTCTCTCACAAGACGTGCAATAGAACTCAGCAGTGGACTGTTTTGAGCACTATATCAAGAACTGGCCTAATCTGATGACAAGTTAGGAACAAAATCATGAAAAAATAGATGGCACTATCACAGCCAAAGTTCTCAGCATTGGGCTTAAGAGAAATGTTGAACACATGCTGAGTACCCTGAAGCCTATTTCTGTATCCTTGAACAAAATGCAGGGAAATAGCTGTTTTATTGCTGACGCTGTTGAAATTTGGAAGGAACTGAGTGAGATCTTAATAAGAGAAATATGCAATGACAGAGTTAAATTACAAGCATTAAAGAAACGAATGGGACAAGCATTATTTCCAGCTCATTTTCTTGCAAATATTCTCAATACTCGGTACCAGGGTCAAACCTTAAATGCTGAAGAAGAGGAGTTGGCTATGACATGGACATCCAGCAATCACCCCTCCATAATGCCAACTATAATAAACTTCAGAGCTAAGGGTGAACTATTCAAGAAATATATGTTTGCTGATGATGTTTTAAAGAAAGTCACACCAGTGAACTGGTGGAAGTCACTTAAGCACTTGGATTCAGAGACTGTTGAAGTGATAATCTCACTTTTAACAGCAGTAGCTTCTTCTGCTGGTGTAGAATGAATATTTTCTTCCTTTGGACTAATTCATTTCAAATTGAGAAATCATTTGGGACCTGAAAAAGCAGGAAAGCTTGTTTTTCTTTTCCAGATTATGAACAACAGGAAAATGAAGGTGAAGATGACTGAGTTAGCTGCAGAAGCCAATATTTTAAGTTTTTCATGTTGACCTGGCTGACACAGTCAATTTAATTTTTGTTTTTTAAAAACATGTATTTCATTTAACTATTTTAGTTAAAAACAATT